ATGTGTAGGGCGTATAACTGCTTCTTCAGGTACAATTTATTTGTCAGCGTTTTGGACATGTATAGGCTTTCCAACCTTGTCCAAATTCCACGTGCAGTGTCTTCATCAATGATGTTATTTACCACATCATCTGATAAGTGCAACCTGATTGCACTAGCAACTCTTTCATCCAAGTCAGCTCAATCCTCAGCTTTCATGGTATCAGGCTTTTTTGAAATCAACATCTAGAACCTTGTGTAATCCTTGTTAGATGAGCAGATCTCTCATCCTTCTTTGCCATGTTGAGAAACCGTTATCTCCGTTGAATTTTGCTACCTCGTACTTTACTCCGGACATTTTTATTTTTCACCAAGTATAGTACTACCGACAGTGAATAGTATTTCAGTGAACGAGCAGAACCTGTGCTCTGATACCAGTTGTTGGGAATAAACCCCTTACCAAAATAATATTCACGGTAATAAAAGCGGAATAATAATGTAGCACCGAGATACGGTAATTAACAAGAATAAAAGAGTAACAATGACACCAAGATTTTTACGTGGAAATCCCTTCTGAATAAGGGAATAACCACGACCCCGAGAGGAGCAACTGATATTACTATAGTAAGGAATTTACACTTTGTAGGCCCGAGTAAAAATACTACAAAGACCACTACAATACTCAAAAGAAATAACCCTCTTTTGATATTTCACTTCACTACAATATCGCTCACACTCTCTATTTTCTTCACAGACTATTTTCTTATACCCTGTCTGTGAAACCTCGCTCTTTCTTTCTAGCTCTCAGATATATTTTCCTCTGAGATTGTGATAAAAGAATGAGAGCCGAAGCTCTCATTTTATAGGCAAAATATGCCTACCAACCTTGGCCTTTCAACTTCTGCAGCCTGTCATTTTTGACAGAAAAATGAGAAACGTGGGCTGCCTGCTTCTGCCAACTTTGAAAATGAAGAAGAAAGGAAGAAAACAACTTCCTTAAAATGTGGGCTGGACCCCACAATATTATCTTGAATTAAAAAGAAAAAAGAATCCATTTTAAGTTTGATCTTAGCTTCAGTTACTAAAAGCTACATTGTATCTTGGACAGCGATAATATTTGCAGTACTCCTTGTATCTTGTATGTTAGAAGGATCCTAGTAAGTAGTAAGACTTGATCATTGATATCTGGCACCTATAAACTACTGTAGTTTTTATTCACTGAATCCAAAGAATTAACTTTATATATATGATGATCTGTGTGTCAAAGATTCAAACCTTCTAATAGAACATGATCCTAAGTTTTAGGTAAAACGATGGAAAGCTTTGATTTCCAAGAAGAAAAGATCCGCTGATGGAATAGCAGATTGCAGTCCAACAACAACCTCTAAATGCGCCAAAGATTCGCAGGAAACATTGAATCCTTTGGAATACGATGGCGGTTTCTGTTCGTCTAAAGGTAATTTTTGTTCGTCTTTTCTTTACTAATAATTCTTTTCTCGTGTAAGTACACCTACAACCTACAAATATCGAAGCAATTGCTGCAGAATGTTACATTTATTTTCACACACTGTACAGTTTATTGCTGCTGTTTTAAGATTTTTCCTCCTTTCAGGTACCAACTTCAGGAGCAATTCAAATGTAAGTGCTAAGTGTCCCTTCCCTGATCCATTAACTTACTCGTCCTTGGCAACACTACCTGTAAACTATATTTTGTTTGCTCAATCCTGCGAATTAACTTCGTACCTCTAATGTTCTGTGTGTCAAATATTCAAATCTAACAGAATTCATCCAAGTTTTACTTAAGAAGACGGAAAGCTTTGATTTCCAAGAACCAAACAACTTCTTGTTACTCCAAAGTTTCACAGGAAGAATTGAAAATTTTAGAATCTGATGGTGAAAATAATACGAGAGGTAGTTTCTATTCCTATTTTTGTTTTACAAATACCAAAGCAATTGCTACTGAATGTCATGTTTCTCGGGCACATATTATACAGTTGTATTGCTGCTGTTACAAGATTTATCCTTTTGTCAGGTGCCATCTTCAACAGCAATTCAAACGTAAATGCTGAGAGTCCTTGCCTTGATCCATTAAACAAAAAGCCATCTCCAAATTCATCTTCTTTTCCAGGCGCTGGGGCTGGAGAAATTCTGACCACAAGTCATAGTGTAATGCCATTACCTGATGCATCAACCCCTTTACAAACCCCTAATGCAGTGCTATTGCCAAACCATTTCCCAAGTACGACAACATCGCGACCACGTCCATCATTAAGCTCTACATTTACTTACTCTGGTAGAAAGAAATATGCAGAGTCCAGCTACTCTGGCAGCCTGCCACCTCAGCAGCAGTACTACTGTAAAATCTGTAGAGTTCATTGCTCTGGGACTCTTTGTTTCGAGCAGCACTTGAGAGGGCGCATGCACAAGCTGAAACTCGGGGATTCAAGTGTCGAGGAAAGAAACAAGCAAGTAAGATGTGACTTGTGCAAAATTTTCTGTCAGGATGAAAGTTTATTAAAAATGCACCTTGAAGGTCAGAAACACAAGGCTAAGCTACTAGAACTCGAACATGGTGAGAAAATTAAAGATGAGAACAGCCAGCAATTCTGGTGCGAATTATGTCAAACTCCATGCATGAATAAAGAAATTTTCATATTACACCTTAACGGGAAAAAACACCGTAAACATATATGTGCTTGAGGAGCAGAAGAAGAAGAAAGCTGAGCCATTTACTCTTCCATGGCTAGTTTTGAATCCACTACAGAACAGGAAACAGTCACCACTCGGTCACTCACCAGGTTGAGAAGTGTCACAATTGTTAACATAAGAACTGTCTTTATATTCGTCTGTTTAGTCTTAATTTCATTTTACGATGTCTTGAACTCCTCAGGAGACAGTTGAATTCTTAGACGATTGAATAGCTATTTTTCAATAGCATCTCACGATATTCCAAATTAAGTTTATAAGGTGATCAAACATAAGAAGTGTCACATTTATTAAGTTTTATTGTCTTAATGTGATCAAATATTTAAGAGTTCTGTTTGTACTCGTTACTTAATCTGATTATGTATAAGTACTGATATAAGAATTTTAGGCTACTCTCTGTCCATTTTAGACATGCTTTGCAGCCAAATAGACCAACTAAGTTAACATGTATGACATATTTAAACAAAAGTTTTGCAGGAGAAAATGCATTTGCTAGCACCAATCAAAGCAACAATAAGAATAGATCATGATCAAAGTGAAAGGCAAACATGATCTTAGATGGTAAAGTTGTAACAACAAAAATGAAACACGTACAAGTCAAATTACCAACATTGAGGAACATTGCCTAAAGAAAGACAGAGACAGAAAGAATGAATGCATAATCTAACTCCTATTATAAGGTGCAAAATGATCTAATTAGTTAAGGAATTCTGTGACTATTTCGTTGCAATTTAAAATCTTAATCACTGGTAAGTTATAAACTTCAAAAGAAACTATATATAATGTCAAAGTATCATAAACCAGCAAAGCAACGTGTTTTTTAAGGAGACAAAAAGTTGTGGCAGCAAAGATGTACTTTCAAGTTAATGACTAATCGTTCAACATTCTTCGACTAATTCTTGCCACACAAGTTTTAACAATTTTTCAATAAGCGTCTCGAGTTATTAAACGAAGTTTCCTAGTACTTTGTCTTTTTGAAATACAGTGTATACATTTGATTGACACTATTCAATCTTAAGGGTAAATTTACCCTTCCACAAATTGTCTGTTTATTTTATAACACAAAGACAAGCATGTAACTGATTTAAATTATTGTGTTTTGCCGACTGGCCTCTTTCTCTTAAAATACTATTCCGCAATGAAAATTTGCTCGACATAAAGTGGATAAGAAAATGATCAAGCAATTTTGCCGAAGTAAAAAAGATAAGTGGTCGATTACTTTAGGGACCCTTACTTTTCTATCGGAGTCCCAACTCCCAAAAGGAAAAAGACAGATGTTAGCGTCCGATCTGCAACTTATCCAGCCCAACAACTCGTACCTTTCCGAGGACAAATTCAAAAATAGCCAAATTTACAAGTGGTCATTTAAAAATAGCCACAGTTTCAAAAGTAATCGAAATTTAGCCACTTTTCGTGTAAAGATAAATCTGAACGAAAATGCTGTTCAAAATCTGAAAAAATACTCCAGCATAATATACTGGAGTTTGGAGCACCGATGCTCTAGTCTCCAGTATATTATATTGGAGCCAACAAAGTATATCGGTCCAGCATAATATGCTGGAAGTTCATACACAGGTGCCCCCAACTCCAGTATATTATGTTGGACCGGTCTCTGTTGCAGCAAAATAATGGCTATTTTTCAATGACTTGGCAAACGATGTCTATTTTTGAATGACCAGTCCGAAAACTGACTAGACCATGTTATTTTAACCCTTTCCTCTTTTTGGGCCCATAGTGGACTCTAAAGAGTTTGAAAAAGCTTCTCTTTTAGCTAAAGTGCTAAACTACTCTATCTTCTTTATGGGCGATTTGCAGTCATACCCTATATTTATGCCACCTTTTAACATGTACCCTATTTTTAAAAACTATTGATTTCGTAGTCAACTAACAAAAAATCCGTAATAATATGACAATTATACCCCTTCCAAAACAAAAAATCCTTTTTTTCATATGTTGTGGATAACTAGATATATTCCATGGAAACAAAAGTTCCGTCCAGCGGAATCCGCCACTTTACTATCCCTCAAAGTTATATCCGCCCTCAATTCGATAGGCCACTCCTTTCTGAAGTTGCTGATTGTGAAAATGTTCCGGTAATTGACATGGGCTATGGAGATAGAAACCTTTTAGTTCATCAATTTGGTATTTAAGAAGTATACCAAATTGGAGGAATCTGACCAAGAGGATTACATAAGTTAGTGAGCACCTTTATTTCCATCTAATACTTTTAACGTGCAAATCATATGGAAAGTCAGTTAAAACTTCAACTCTAAGAAGGCTGAAGTTCGCCAGTTACAAACAAAAACTTCAGCTCTAGGGCTGAAGTTCACCAGTTATAAAAATAAAAACGTTCGCCAGTTACAAAACAAAAACTTCAGCTCTAGAGCTAAGATTCACCAGTTACAAAAACTTCAGCTCCTAAAGCTGAAGTTTACCAGTTACAAAATAAAAACTTCACCAGTTACAAAACAAAAACTTCAGCTCTAGAGCTGAAGTTAACCAGTTACAAAAACAAAAACTTCAGCTCCTAAAGCTGAAGTTCACCAGTTACAAAATGGCTTGCAGTATATTTCGACTCAGTGGGAACGTGCAATCACAGGTATAATCAATCATGAAAAAGATGAAGATTCTCTTTCCAGTGAATTCTTCCATGCATGTTCGCTATAAGGAGGTAATGGCAAAGGCTTTTTAAGATCATCCTTCTGTAATGCTAGAAGAAAAGAAAATTTTGAAAGTGAATTTATTGGTGATGAAATCAACTTTTCCTCCCATTTTTGGTTAAAACAAAGTCCTAAAACGTGCTTAACGACTTTGCATTGTTCCTTGAAATAACATAGGTGTATTATTAGCTTCCTTTGAGAAAATTCCAGTTTTAACATAGAGGACTAGCATATATTTGGAGAGAAAGTAGTCTTTTAATAAAGAAGGGCAAAATAATCTTTTTAAAAGGCTTTTAACAAAAAAGTGAGTACGGGTGCAAACAGAAAAACAAAGCGGCTATAGGTTAAAAAAGACTCTCATGGCACCTTATTTCTCCCACCGTTCCATTTGCATTAATAGTAAAATAAGAATTTTATAACACAACAATTACAATATATGAACATATTAAAAAAAAAAAAAGTGTGTTATGTAAATTAGAATAAGGGAAGGAGTAAAAAAGAAAAGTAATACTATATAAAAAACGTATTGTCGACTCATAGACACAGATCATACAAAAAAAGGGCAACCTCGGAATTTTCAGTGGTGGTGTCTTGAATTAAGGTTTATTCCCAAAAATAGGGAAGAAAGAGAAATATAAAACTACATTAAATTGGTTTTATCTCCCTTTGGTAACACTATGGATATTCAATTCCTCCAATTTATTTTATTTTTCATTTATTTCCTTATCAAGCAAGCAATGTCTTATTTGATCATTTCTAATTTGAACTTATTTCAAAAAAAAAATCTAGTTTTTATCGAAACATTTTTCTCTATTCTTTTCGATATCTTATCATTGTTGGATAGTCAAAACATATTCGGAGCATCCACATTGTTCTAAGAATGTTCAAGTTATTTTACAATTTTAAATAATTAATTTCATCAATATTTTTTGGACTCACATTAATTATAGAGAAGAAGAATTGTCAATAGATAATTGTATTGAATCCTGGAAGGTTATTAGACTCTAGGACCTACATTTATGATGCTGGAAAATAATACGAAGACAAGATTTTATACTAGATCTTATTGTTAGAAAAGAACGATAAGTGGCTAATGTTGCAATTTCTGTCTAAAAAGTCACAATTTTGTTTATATTAAGTTAGTAACCAATGGATTGCTAATCATGGGGTAGCTAAGTTGATTAATTATATTCTTGATAATGACAAGCTAGCCCTGGATTAAATTACACTTATATTCTTACTCAATAATGCAACTCTAATAACTACAACTACATAACGTGAGTGTTAATGCATCATCTCTTGCAGTTATACAGTTGAGACAACCACCAACATTGAATATATTTTATGTTAGTATTCTATTTGGCTTCTTTACTAGTATTAATAGTTTAATTAATGAATTGCCATAGCATGATTAACTCAAGTTAATGCTCGTTAGGCTAACTTTTCAAGCTCATTTATTGGGTTCGCATATGATTAAAATAAGTCCTTATATGCCTACTTTAGTTTGGTCCGTACAAAAGAGTATAAGGGCTTTTTTCTCTGCAAATAATTTAAGGGCTTATTAGTTCAAGAACTTTTTAGTACAACAACAACAATCCAGTTTAATCCCACTTAATGGGGTCTGGGGAGGATAGTGTGTACGCAGACCTTACCCCTACCCTAGGGTAGAGAGACTGTTTCCAAATAGACCCCCGGCATCCTTCCTTCCAAAAACTTCCCACCTTGCTCTTGGGGAGACTCGAACTCACAACCTCTCGGTCAGAAATGAGGTTGCTTACCATCAGAGCAACCCCTCTGGTCTAAACTTTTAGTATTATTTTAATAACGCAAATCAAGGACCAGCGATACGTATATAATTAAGCAAAATAGTTTGTCAAAGCTTTAACAGATTTGGATGCTATCTATGCGGATCCTTTTTAAAGGGAAATCAGTGATCCGTTTGTTTCTCTTCCCTGAATTGAATTCGTGCAACGGAAAATGGGTAAAAATTGCACGGGGCGCCTTATTTGGTCGTCCCGATTTAACCTATACCCATTTTTTAAAAATATTTTAACTTGTACCTACTTTTTAAACAACTTCAACCCCCTTTCTCCTTCTCCTCCTCAAAGTTATATCCGCCTCTTTTTTCTCAAACTTCTCCTTCTCCCTTTTCTGCAAAAAATCTGTTACGACTATGTATATAACTTGTATTCACACAACGCTTTTATCTAGAATTTCATTTTCAAAAAATTAATATTCATTTTTAGAAAAAGCCTCTAGTACTTGGGATTTTCCAACATAATTTGTGGAGAAACTTATTGCTATAGCCAGAAACATAATTGAAGCAAGTAGAAAGCTAACCTTGTATATGTGAATTATATGTTTCTGGTTCAGAAAAAGAAAAATTTGTGTTGTTTGAATGTATAATAGAATTGTATAATATATTTTCGAATATCAGTTGCTTAGCAATAAAAATGGCTGAGCAAAGCTGAGTGTGAGTTAGACGAAATGAGGCTGCATTTAAAGCGGACGATAACATAAAAAACTATTTTTTTTCAGAAAAAACTTCAGCTCTAGCTATTTGAGCTCATCTATATACTATGGTGGTCAAGATGTTTATTATCCAACTACTCAGGCCTCTGGCTACCAGAATACTGTAAGTATAGGTAGAGGTGGATTCAAGATTTAA